GAGTCAATTTCAATTATATAAAAATATTAATCACAAAAAATTTAGTAATTTATTTTCAAGTTAGGTATTTTTCTAATTATCCAACATGCAATTCATTGCATTACAACCCATTTATGAAGGATGCGTTAAAAACGTACAATTTTTAGCTAGGGCCTTCATTATCCCAATCCATTTATAAATATTAGGTTTAATAATATCATCTGATTATAATTAACCTGCTTATAAGATTTGGAAAGATAAATAAAAATATATTCTTACAAATAAAGAACGTATTTTAAAAATATGAAATTAAGAAATACAAAGCAATGATAACATAAATCTTAGGACGCAACAGGTATCTCATAAAATATTCAAGGTAAACGATAAAATCTCTTTTTAGGAAATGTAATACAGTAAAATTTGTTTTGATGAGTAAAAGATTTTTTTGGAAGACCGATTAGTGATAATCGTTATTTATAGTGAATAATGTATTTTATGCTAAAAGGTCAAGTTAATTTAATAATTATTGTATGTTGATTAATTCAAGTATGAATTTTTAATGTATTATTACATCATTTTCGCTTTTTCTTTAAATCCTTGCTTAGATCTTGCGAGAAGCTGTCATGATATGGTTTGTTTATTACACATCGTATGCTCATTGTTGAACAACATTCTACCGTTGTTGCAACTGTACTGTATTGAGTCAGCACTTTTTACATGAACATATTTACACGGTCTGGTGATTACACGTATGTACAATTTATAGAATTATTATTTATAGAATACAATTTATTACACTTAATTATTATTAATTATTTTGTATTTATTATAAAATTATCTAAAATATTTTTATTATAATTATTATAACATTTATTTTATTTCTTCCAAAAAAACTTAATAATAACTGTTAAAAATGAAATTAATAAAAGTTTAAACAAAAAAATTGTTATGTTTAATTTGCCTTTGTTATTTTATATATAAATATAATTGTTTTAAATTGCTGGTTGACAACATTGTGTGAGTTTGCCTGCTTTAAAAACGTAATTATATAGAAATATAACTACTTTTTTTTATTTGTATACTATAAAATTGAGGGATAGTTAAAACTATAGTAAAATGCAAATTGATTTAACAGTAGGTATTTACACTAAGATCAGTCCATTTTTAAGCAAACAACTATCCCAACATTCAAAATTCCAACTGAGAACAAGAACTATATTAATATTGGTATATGTTTGAAAAGTATTTTTTATAATATTTTAACTAACCATCATTATTTTAGTCATAAATTAGCTGGTTTACATCGAATAGCAAATTTGTAAATTTGGTTTAAATAAATGAAAATAGAAGGATAATTTTGTTTCGCATAATAAAATATGAGTTTTTTGAAATGTAAGTTTTTTTTTAATAAATGTGAAATTAAATATTAATTTTAAATTTAGATACACATATAAAAATATATTAAATCTGCGGTTGTTAAGTATCTAATGCTTCTATATTTTCTACGCCACTTTTATTTTATTAAAATAATAAACAATAATATAAATAATAATTTAAGAATATTTTAAATTATTATTAATATTTTAAAATATTTAATTACGAGCATACTTAATTAAATTAATTATATAAATGACAAGAGCTTCTAATAAAATCTGCAATTCTATTTTAATTATATTCTATTGTAATTAATTATTTCAAAATGTTTCAAGTTTAAAAACGTAACTTTATTTTTTCTGAATTACACTTATAAAATTACATATATTTATTTAATAAATTTTAATGTAGTTATATATTTTTCTTTTTATTGAACTTTTTGAACAAGGTATGTTGAATTAATATAATATATGAAATTATAAAATTTGATAAGCCAACTATGAAATACATAGATTTTTTTTTAAATTTAAATAAATATTCATAAAATAAATAAAAGAATCCATTACTAAAAACTGAATTTATTAAGGCGCTGAAAAAAATAAATTTTTTTTTTTAATTTTATTAAAAATTTATGTTCGATAAAAAAATAACATAACTTGTAATTTTTAATATTCACGAGATTGAAATTTAAATTAAATTTCCATACTTTAATTTACAATTGACATATATAAAAACATAAATAATTATTAACTTTAAACGTTTATTGATAAAAACAAAATGTATTTACAAAAATTATTTCAAAATCATTTACAAGTTTTTTTTTTTGTAATTAAAATATGAAATTCCGTGTTATTTATTTAAAATACTTAAATACTTAGCTTATTTATTGAAGATTATTATAAAAAATTAAAATGACAATTATCATTAACAAAAATGTATCGCAAATTGTACAAATCCTTACATATAATATAAAAAATATGCGTGAATTTAGTTTTGTTTAATTTAATGTTATTTAATTTTTCTGATTGTTTCTTTATTTTCATTCTACTTTGGAATTGCACTGATGGTAGATCGAATTTTTTCCTTTTGTTTTTCATTGGGCGTTTACTAAATAATATAGTCTACTATTTGTTGTTATTTATCTTGAATCCCGAGCCACAGAAAGCTTATTGAACTCGTCTTAATATCTGTCATTTTCACTGGTTTCTTACACTCATAAATTAAGTTATAAATAATAATGTTACAATTACAAAAATTTACTCTTTTTTTATCATTAATTATTTTAACATCTTTCTGATTATTATTACATAATGGTTTTAAATCATATTAATTAAAAGTAGTGTCTATTATCGGTAATAATTGTTACAAACATTTTTGTATACTGAAAAAAATATATAAATATTAATTTATGCATTTTTATTCTTTTTTCAATTTCTATCGAAAATCCTAATTCTATTACAAAATTTGATTTATTCCAAATACTATATATTAGTATTTCTTAATAAGTAATACGTATAAATGATACATATGCATGTATTCTCTAATAACATCACAAGAAATATTATAAATGATTCAATTTTCTTATTTGTTTATTGTATAAGAATAACAATTAACTTATAATTGATTATAATTATCAAATTTAATTTTATATCGTTTTATTATACTTACTTTTTATACGAATATTTTTTTAATAAAAAAACGATTCTAAGTTTTCATAAGATTATTTTTATTAAAATTTGTTAATTTTATTTACATATAAATTTAGAAGAATGTTTAATTATTTTAAAACAAAATTCAGTAATTTTATAATATAATAATTTAAATAAATCATATGTATAGTATGAAACCTTTTTATGTATAAAAGTGAAATATATTTTCAGTATGCCGAAATCTCAAAAAAATAGAAACAGTTAAAATTAATGTATGAAAGCAAAAAGGTAAGATTAATAATATTTTATCAACATGATTGATAAATAATAGATACTTTATAATAAACTTAACTTTTCTACAAAGGAAATACAAATATTTGGATTATATTTTTAAATATAATATAAGTACCTATTGATATCTTTAACTACTCTCATTATTATTTTTTATTAGTAATACGTATAATATATGCATTCATACATGACTGCACCTATACTTATATTTGTATTAAATATATTTATATTCACTATTTTGCCTTCTTAAATTAAATAAATAATTCTTAATTATAAATTGTTAAAATATTTAATAAAAATAAATAGTAAACTTCTAGATAATTAGTAATAAGTGAAACAAGTATCATATCACCAATATAATTATGTGCATTAATTATGGATTATTTACCACAATTTTCTATTATTTTTATTTTTATTATATACATATTTATTAATATAGTTTATGCATAAATCATTGATTTTTTTTTAAATCATTTAATAATGTAAATATATTTACTCGTAATTTGTATGTTAATGTTGTCTTTGTTAATTAAATATTATGATTTCTAATTTTTATTACTAAAGCATCATTGTTAAGCTACTAAAATCATATTTAACTTTTATAATCTATCTAAGTCTATTTTATTAATGTAAGTTTGAATGGGTAAATATTTTAAAAATGTTTAAAAAAATGTAGTACAAGACTCACTTTGATTTACAGAACATCCTTTGTATATTTAAGATGATCATAATATTTTAGTCTTCGTATTGAAATACATTACTTGCTAATTAATTACTGTTTATCAATAAATATAAAATATAGTAAGTGAAAATACAAAAATATAATGTCTAAGAAAAGTGGAAAAAGCTTAATATATTCTCAATATTTATTTTTTATATTGGTTAAGAATGTAAAGTATTTTTATTAATTTGTTTTTCTTTATTTTATTACTTTTATAAAAATATTTGATAAATAAAATTCATCTATTGAATGTTATTTACTGAAAAAAATGATATATTTTGAATATCGATATACGTTCAACAAAATGATCAGAATTTTATCAAAATTTAATTAAATTTTTATTTAAAGGAATATTTTTAATTTAATTAACATATTGTGTGAATTTATATAGAAATTGGCTTTCTAAATCATAGATATATGATATGTTTTGGGTGATGTGTAAAAACATTATATTTTTTATTTTTAATTTAGAAAACTTGAATATATAGTTATTTAATAATATAAAATTAAATAGAATAGTGGTAATATAAAAATGTTATTAATATATTTACCTTGTTATTTATAAAATAGTGCTTTGTAAAATGTTGAAATTAAATAATGATGGAAATGATTTCTAATGTTAGTTGTATTCTTTGGTATATAACGTTAGCCACAGCATTATTATTTGTTAAAGATTTTTTATATGTACAGACTATTAAATTGCCACGTGCATATTTCAGATTGTACATATTTATATATGTATCTGCAAATATATACAGATGATTCTTGATTCACAGTAAATTAAAAATAAATTATGTTCACATAGCCACTCAAATTAGAAATTCAAAGCTTATAATTTCAGGAAAATACTTTCATCTGAGCCCATTGCAAACTTTTAATTCTCTTCATGATATATATATATATATTTGGATTATGTAATTTAATACTTTTTTCAATGAATGTACAAGGATTAAATTTTGAAAAGAAAGATTTTAAGTTTACTATTTAAACAAGGATGTTAAGAAAAAAAATATGTGAGTGTGGCAACAAAGAAAAAAAGAGACGAAGGACAGGAAGACAAGATGGTTTCTTAAATCCTATGTGTAGTAGTAATGGCAGGAACTTTCTTTTCCTTGAAAATTACAAGTGTGAGTTATGAGGTTGTTGTTCGTAAAAGAGGACATAACCCTCATTCGAGACGACTGAACGCGCCGAAACGGGTGTAACTCTACTATCGTTGTATTCGTGCCATTCTCCAGAATAAGGATGCTTGCAGTAACTTGTGTAATGGCCCGAGTGTGTAGTGCCTGAGTGATTCGCAATTCCATACAGATTGTATGTGCAGCCTTGAACACGAGGCGCTGCGAAGGCACTAAGGTCTAGAGTTGTTAATGGAAAATCCACTAGAACATTCAACTTGCCACGAAATCTTTCCATTGGTGAAAATCGTTTCAAGTCTGTACGTTGTATATTGTTTATATTTCAAGTTAAGGAAATTTACGCCTATGTTCTCTTAATTTCTCATATATTTCAGATCCCTTTAATACTTATTTGCTTTGTTTAATTTAATTTTTGTATAATTACATTTCAATATAAAAATTGAAAACAATTAAAAGAAAAAAGATTATAGCCTTGAAATCCATGATTGTATTATTTAAACTGGATATGTCAATATTAATTATGCAATCAATAGTACACCAAACATAATAATTATTTAAATGAATCATTCTAGTACCCCTCAATACAAATGAAAATATACAAAAAATAAAATAGTACTCATTGTTTATTGTATTTATATCAAATCATTTAAAATATTTATTTTTAACTATATTATAGTTAGAACATTTACATACAACAATAGTATTGTAAATAATATTTTACACATATACTAAATTTTAGTACACAAATATAATTTTATTTGGATTAATATTAATGAGCTTTTTATTTTACTAAATTGAAAATTAGAATCATAGACTATTTTTCCAAATAAATAAATATAATATTGAATAGTTATTGTTAATATTAATGCGTAAATATTGAAGTTTTATTATTTATTTTACTTTAAAAATTTTTATTGAATAAAGATTTTGTATTATGAGCTAGATATTATGAATTTATATTTATATAATATTTTATAGTATTTAATTATCAAATAATATTAATTTCATATTTATAAATAATAAATATTTTTTATTGTTTATATTTAATTTTGAAGATTTATAACTTGAAGTCAATGGTTTTCACAAAAATTTGATATTATAGTTGTTATATAATAAGATTTATAATTTCTATTATAAAAAATTGTTTTTTAAGTTTATTGTTCAAATTCACATTTTGTTTTATAATAGTTAGATTCTTTTCTATGAATATTTTCTTTGTATTATTAATTTTATATCTATATTTTCAATAATGTTACCAATTATTTTAAATCATTTTAAATATAATACATAAAAAAAGTAATTTCTTGAAATCTAAAATATTTTTACAACTTGAAACAAAAATCTATGTGAGTAAAATAGTTTTAAAGATTAATTTTTGCTTAATAAATAAAATTTATAATTATTTTTAAATGAAATAATATATAGTAGGTATAATTTCAGGATCTTAATAAGAATTGAATTAATTTTATTTTATATTAATTATAATGAAATAGATAATGAATATAATTCAAAAACATTTTTTATTGTTCTGTTATGATTAAAAAGATAATTTCATAAATCCATAATATAAAGAAAAATCATTTCTTCAAATAAATATAAAAATTATAAAATAGATATTCTAATTATAATATTGAAATCATGATACAACTTTATTTCAAATGTATGTTTATAGTTCTCATTTGAAATTATTCAATTAATTTGTTGATTTATTTTATCAGACTGAATATGATATAAGTAAAATTACTTTTTAAATTATGGAAATTAATACCTGAAATAAGTTAATATAAGTTTTAAGAAAGAAGAATTACACTATTCAAAATTTTTATCCAAAAATATCTCTAAAAAGAGTGTTATTTTTATTCACCAAATTGTCTAATTTATTTGATTTTATTTTTTAATGAATATTAGTTTAATTATTTAAAAAAAACTCCCTCCTTACAAATTTAAAATTATATATATACAATTTTTTGGTAATTTAATTTTACTTTGTTATGAATTTTTGATGTGTTTAATGCCATTATATATTAAATGAGTATAATAAATCTAACTACTTCAATATTGTAATAATATATAATAATTTTTATGTAAGAAAAGGATACGAATAACTAAGATTTTTGGAAATTTTTGTATACTAAAGCTTTTGGTACACTTTCTTCTCGTCTGACATTTAAAACAAGTGGGTTTTTCATCACCATCTAGCACCTCCTCTCTAGTAAAATGTTCTAAACAAAGATTCAGCTTAACAGTCCCACTTCTTGAAGGTATTGGTAAACTTAAGTCCCAAAAGGGATCTAAAGTGACAGAGACATGATCACAGATGGTACAACGCAACGACGATCTCAATTGACCAACAAAGACATCTACGATTATGCTATCCTCATTACGTAGATAGCGTTTCCAACTTTCTGTTGCCTTCATACTATCTCTGAAATATGTATTATTTTTATTGCAACTTTTATTATATATTGGAATAAATATGTTGTTATATCTTAATTATATGTTTAATTTAAAGGTATACTTAACGTAAATCATAATTATAGATTATTTTTGAAAAGTCATAAAATATTACAAATTCTATTATTTGCTTTTGCTGAATTTATTACGATCTTCTAAATAATAATTTTATTCATGTATGATATAACTTGATTATTATTATTTTAATATTTTAATTGAACAATAAATAATATTAATAACATATTATTTAAAGTGTTAAATATGATGGTATGTTACTAAAATATAGTTTTAAACAAAATAAAAAAATTAAAGAAAAGTAACAAATGATAAAATTATGAATTTAATATGTAATAATAATAGTTTTATTTAATTTTTGGCTTGTGTTACAAAGTTATAAGAATTATTGTTGTGTTTTATATAAAATATAAAAATAATTGGAGACTCCAATTTTTCTAATAATCAAATAAAAAAATTTTTATAGGAATCTAAAATGTGTATATTACTGATATTATAATTAACTATTAGATAAATATTATTAGTATTTAATAACAACGTTCAATAGATTAAACAAGTAAATCTTTACTTTCATTATATGTCTATATTGATTTTCTATAACGAATAAATGATTATTAAAATTATATTCCTTAAATAATCAATTTTTTGTTTTTATATTACGAAAGCTTTTTATGTTGAATATATAATATATAAGCTGAAATATATAATTCTTATACAAATTTATAATTTTCAATATATATTTAAATTATTTACTTTCTTATATTTACTTTCATTTCAATAACATTGTGACTATTCAAAAATTATATTCCATACAGGCTAAACGTTTAGATTTATGAATTTAACAATAAAAATGCAGACAATATATATATATATATATATATTGTGTGTTAAAGGTGTTATATAGAGTCGTAATAATATTCTACGTTAAAAAAGAAAATATATTAAGATAATACTCGAAATATGGATTATAGATAATTATATTACTTTAGAAAAAAAGAGTTAATATTTATAATTATTATTTTAAATTTTATGTTCCAATTTATACTTAAAGAAATATTTCAAATTTCTGAATTTGTATTTAATTAAAAATATTTGATTAATAATTGTCCATTAAATTTTTATATTTAATTTTATAATTAAAATATTAATATTCTTTTTATTTTTACATAATTTAAGCGTCACAGAGTCCTATAAATTATAATACATTATTATACTTAAAACGAATTTTTTAAAGAAATATCTCCTTATGCGAACCTTATTCAAATACTTTTATATCAATGTATATAGTAGTATGTGTATATATATTTTACTATTTATGTACCTGTTGTATCACCTATAAAAGAGACAATTTGGAGTATGAAACAATATTATTACAAAACTTAAACAGTGTACATAAACACGACCTTGCCGTCAAAATTTATATTATAAACATTATATATTGTATAGGAATTTTTAATTGTAAAAAAAATAAATTGGAATTAAACTATTTGGTAAATAATAAACGAGGTAACAATATCCATTGACAAAGAAGAAAATATAAGATTAAGAAAAATAATATTGTAAATTGCGTTTAAATTCTGGCTGTATATCAGTGATGACTACTCAAAATATATAAAAATTGTTTATGCTTATGCACTATTACGTGTTATTTATTCTTTTAGACGGGATTGAATTCAATTTTGTGATTGGATTTATACGTTTATTAAAATATTAACAATATTAATAATTTATATTGTAATGATAAAGTACGTTTATAAAATTTAAACATTTTAAACAATATCACACTGTCTTATTTAACTTCTTTAAAATATACTTTAATCAATATTTCTTCAGATAAACGTTTTGATATTATTTTATAAAAATTTCAAAGTAAATAAAGTAAAATATTGAATTAATAAATTACGAAAATAACGTTAGGAACTCTATTATTATATTTAACTAATAACAAAACAGCTTCTTATGCATAGATAAAAGAAAATTTCTGCATATCTTATTAATGCATTCTTAATTACACAATCAGAATATATTATATTATGTATATTATTTATATATTTATATTTATATATTACTTATACACTATACATGTAGTGTTAGAAAATTATTATAAATGGTAATTTAACATTTATTAATGTTTTCATAAAATTTAAATCGATAGACTGATCACAATAGTTTATTTTACTTTAAAAGCTGAAATATATTATTGATTGGCTTATAATATAATTGTATTAATACAACATAAAAGTCATACAAAACTTACGAGTAAGTATCGGGTATATCTGTGTGAATTGACTGTGGCTTAATGGTAACTCGATTAACATCTTCATGCAATCCTTCAAGTAGATATCGAAGGAATTCCTGGGCATCTTGTTGGCTATAACCCATGAAACGTGGAGCAAATCTCTGAATTTGGGACTTGAGAGACAATGTGTCAACAACACGATCACCGTCACTTTCCCAGAGTTCCTGTACCACTTGACTGAAGGCCTTCATGAGTGCACCTTTCATACTTGATGTCGTTGTATTTATGTCAGCCATGTACTGTTCATTTAGCAAGTATTCCAACAGAGGTCTTGTATTGCTCAGACATTGTATTACGCTGTTCATAAAACACTTTACAAATAACAAATTATCACCGATAACAACTTAAGTTAGCAATTATTAATTTAAAATTTCAAAATTCTAACATTCCAATATTTGATTAATACTATTCAATAAATTAAATAACTTTAATAGACTGTTTCAAAACTGAAACTGTAATTCAGAAAGTATTAATCAAAAGTAATTATTGATTATAATGTTTTATTTTAAAATTTTCAAATATTGAAAATATTAATTATTAAAATAAACTGTATGAATATATAACAATAAATTGAACTTTGTAATTTTTTAGAATAATTTGCAGTTAAACATTATCTAATTCCACTTATAATGTGTTTTAGTATTCCTTAAATATTTTTACTCAATTTCTAGTATACAGATAGAAACAAAAATAACACATTCTTTTATTCTACACAACGCTGAAGCATTTATGCGTTTGTTCTTTCTTCAATAAATTTATTACTACTTTGTCACAACTTTGTTACTTTCATTCTAATAATTAGTAGAAACTGAAATGAGTAAACTATCACTTGCGAGTTTTTTTTCTTTTTACGTATTTAATTTGGTAATTAATTTTAATTAGCCAATGCTATGAAATTAATCGATATTTCAAATTGTTTTCAAATATCTACTATAACACAGTTTAATATTGATTATATACTTAGTCTTCAAAAAAACAGGCAAACTGACTTATAGGGTGCTAGTTTATAATTAATTATGCCTTATATTCTCTCCTTTTTTCAAAACAAGTGATTATAATAAATTTTATTAAATTTAAAGAGTATTATAAATAATAAGATTCCAATGATATTATATCGAGCTTATTTTATAATATATAAAAAGGTATTCGCAAAATAGTGATACAAAATTCATAAGCTTTATATATAGTATTCTAATTTATTCACACATATCAGGCCTTTTTAAATAATGGTAATTTTACGCAATACTATGTACGAATTAATGACGTATTTAATTTAGTATTACGTTAAATTAGCATATATGTATGACTTCAAAACAGAATTTATTATTTAAATTATTGATATTCGACTTAAGTTGATTTCAGATACACAATATTTTAAATGTAAATAAAAGCTTCCATTTACTTACATTAAATACATATACAATAAAAAAATAATAAATTTCTTGTTTATTAAATCTATCGAATCTTGTTGACAACAAAATTAGGTTTATTAAAAAAAAAAAAAAAATTCGCAATAATCATACATATTTTAGAAATTGTCTCATACAAAATTCATGATCAACAATAGACATTTACTTTTAACGAGTTAAATAAAAATAAAAACAAAGTATATTAATATATAATACTTACTGTATTGCCGATATTTCGTAAGCCATTAAGACCGCACCGATTATCTCCTGTATTCTTTAAGCGATTTTTGACATTAGATTTCCCAGTGGATCCATATTCCTACAAAGAAGTTAGAAATCATTGTGAACTGATTTTTATTTATTATAATTTTTATTCATTTTCTCGTTGGTATAAAATATATTCATACTGATTGATTGATACATTAATTTTAATATTTTTTTACGTGAATAAAGTATATAATTTATTACTCAAATTGCACTTAGTTAAACTTAGGTAAATAATAACTTACCTTATATATATTATATATATAATAAAAAAATATATATATTCACTCTCTATAAAAGAAAAGTAAGTAATTTTTTTCTGTTAGCCAATTCATAACATAGTATATTTATTTGAACATTTTATTTAACATATACCTAATGCGTTGGTCAATATTTGACTAAGAAATATGTATTTAATAAAATATACAAAATTGTAATAAATATATGTTGAATAAAAGTTAAGATTATTAAGATTGATGTATAAATTTATAGCATTATAATAATTAATAAATATAAATTAGGTTGCAAGTTTAATTGAAAATAATTCAATTAAGATAAACCGTGGTAAAAGGAAGAAGATGAATGATAAATAAACATGTAATTTATATATTAAAACAAAATACAAAATGTAATATTTAAACCATTTTTCTTATTAAATAAATCGTTATATCACAAAATTAAACATCAAATAAAAATAAAAGTAAGTTAAAATCAGGTGCAATCTTATAGCATCCTTTAAAAATTTTTATAAAAATTTAAGAATCTAGAAACTAAAGATTGTACTAAAATAAAATATTAACTATTAGTAATTTAATATTTTTATGTATTAACGTTTATTATGGTACGTTATTAGAAATGAATATTTAAATTTGAATTTTTTAAGCTATTACTTTAATTATACAAAAGAAACTATTTGTTTTGTTAAAACATTTAATACTTATATATTTTATGCCATATCAAATTAAACTATAAATTGCATTAATATTAAAATTGTAGTACAGAATTTTATTTAATTTATAAATAAAGGGCAAAAATCCTTGAAACTAAAAAAATGTAATTTATTCATTAAATAATATAAATTTTTAATGGTAATAAAGTTAAGTGATAATAAATTTTCATATGGAATCCATTATTTTTTTCTTTTATAATTATTAAAATAAATTTATACTTTCAGTTTTCTATACGCATAATCAATCAATTAGTTAAAAAGTGAGTAAATTGGTAAAAACCGTGTTTTCTGTTGAATCAAATGCAATTAAATTGAGGTTCTAGGATTTATTAGTAAATCTGCTGTGCATTTTTCACTTATATTTATTTATAGGCTTTTAGATATTTAATTCTTTACACGCATTTCATACTGTAAAAATTATATCCTCAAACATGAAAAAAAATTACTTACTTTAATAACATTCTAGTTACTTTCATTATAAATTTTATGTATCGATCCACGTACATGATTGTGCACGTACACATTTATTTGCTTGCTGACACATTAAATAGTATTGAATATTCTATTTATTATTATTGAAAATAAATAGCATATTTTATACAAGGTTTGACAAATTAACATAATTATAAATATTAACATTATTTCTAACGTTAAAATAATTTTAAAAACTTTGATAAATTAGAGTAATATACAAATTATTAAGTAAATAATTACAAATTAACCGATTACATTTTTAGTATTCATAATATATTTCATTTGAACAATTTTCAAGTTTATGACATGGTTTTCGATATTGATACGATTGCATGTTTTATTTTTTCTCTGATCTTATCTAATGATCAATAGATATATTAAAAAGTCGTATTTTTATATAAAAAGAATTTATATCTAAGTATCTTTGTATAGTATACAAATATAAAGAAGTCATTTAAGAACTGTTTGAATTTAATAGAAAATACTTTACTCATCTACAGTTACAATACAGTTTGTATTTAACTAGAACTGTTTTGTGTCAAAGAAAACTTTCGATCATCATTCACCTTATATAATTTCTTGAAAAAAAAACAATAAAAGAATAATTTATAGAAAGGGTATTGATAAGCTGTACAATAATAACCATAAAAATGACTAAAATATTTGAAATTATCATAGTTGTACGAAAATTTATTGTATTATAATAATAATACTGATGATCTACATTCGTGACTTGGAGTAATTAGTGGGATTATAGTATCCGAAAGACACAAAGAACAAATTATATGAAGCTTAAATAAATTAGATATTAAAAAAAAACAGCTAATGTAATTGAACTGTAATATGAATTCGTTCTGAAGATACTTACGCTCGTAGATGCTGAAGCCGTCTCTAGTGTTGCACTCACTGATGTTGCCAGCTGTGTTGTAGTTGGCACCTGTGCTACGAACTTATTTGCGCTCTTAGTATCGAGTGGTTCCATGCAGTTAAACGAAGGGTTAGCATAAGAAGAAGGTTCGACCTTGTTCTTGTTGTCAGTTACGTCATCTGCATCTGTCGGGTTAGCGCTACGACCGTTAACATCATCGTCATCATTGTTATTGTCAATTAGGCATGCGATTCCAAGCGTTCGTGAATTGTTGTTGTGCCCGTTGCTTGTTACTTCGTTATTGATACGCAAACGGTGTTGCACTGGAAGAAAGTCTGTACCAATTTCATTCTTGTTAATCAGATTTGACGTATCAGATTGGCTGGCAGTACGTTGGATTTTGTGCATATAGATATTGGGCGAGCACTTGTTGAAATCAAGATTCGTCGATGAACTTAGCATATAACGCTGCTGCGAATTTGGCAAAGAGCTGGTAGCTAACCTGGATAAAAAAAAAACAAGAAAATTAATTTAACGCTATTGAATTATTATTTAGGTTTTATGAATCAATTAAATAATGCGATGAATAATTTATTGTAAATGATCATCATTAAGCTCTGATTGAAACGATCGGTATAGCTCTGGTCTGATCTTGGGAGTCCCTTCTATTTTTGGATGCTAAATGAAAAATGAAAATGAAAAAACCGTCCAAGCATTTGCACCTTTAATTCGCAGACTTCTGATATAACGACTTCTTCAAGTCATCTTTTGAAGTTATAATAATAATTTTATATTAAGGTATATATAGGCTTTTCTTAGTGTATTTAATTAGATATATTTAAATTTTGACCAGTTGTTACAAATGTATTTTTATTTAAATAAATGTTTCATACTTAAAGAAATTGTTAACAATTGTTGGAAAATATTTTCTTAATCGTAAAATTGACTTATTAATAGAAAATAATCATTTAAATTAAAAAGTTAATTAAATTTCTACTAATTATATTTCGTAGAATATGATTCCTTATTGAAATGAACTTAACTTAAATGAATTATTAACGGTAAAGAATACTATTATTTTTTCATTGAAAAATTTTAATGCTTATTTTGTTAATATAAACTTAAATGTGCAATATTAAAATAATTTAATATTAATTAACTGCAATTTATATAACTGCAATATATAATATTAAAATATAATTCTGGATATATTTATTCATTTGATTAGTATGTAAAAAATCTATTGAATCCATTTTTTAAGAATTAGATATATTTACTAATATTATTATATTTAAAAAAATAAACGCTTTACATTTTTAAATATTCTCTAAACAAAGTATTGATCAATTACAAGATTAATAATATATTACTTTCACTCTTAAATTTAATAATTATTTCACATTTTCTTAAACAAAACATAATATTCTATGCTAAATAACATAAATAAAAGTAAATACAAATCATATTAAAGTTGCATTAAAATTGTAAATTATCTTGTTTTTAATATATAAAGATGAAAATTTAATAAAAAATTACATACGAAAGAAATATAATAGAAATATTACAAAGTAATGAAATTGGTTAGAATTTACATTCAAAATATTAGCAGAAAATATTTATAGACCAACCATAAATTAAAATAAAAAACATGTACTCAATGAAGAAAATAATAAATTTAAAATAATAATGTTTACGTTATCTTATCCTTAGTGGAAATCTGCAATATATTCAACCATTCATGCACGTACACTGGAATGGTATTAATATTATTACTATAATAGTGTACTGTTTATTTATAAGTCCTCTGAATATTTATTTCTCTTGTAATATCTAAATATATGAAATCAGATTACATGGATTGTATTCACTATGCTGTAGATAAAATAATCAATTTCAAATCTCATGAATTATAATGCATGCATAAACAAAACGATAAGTCAATCTTATCATAAGTCTTGCCTAAAATGAATTATTTTTAGATTATTTATACAATAAATTTAGAAATAATTAATATTGTTCAAAATTAATAAATAAATCATAAAAGAAAAAAGGATATGATATAGAAGTTGGTCGAATTAGCCTCACTAGAAATTAAAAGTTTCAAAGTCATTTATATTTAATTTAATTTAATAGAATATTACAAAATAAAGGAAGGTTAATATTTTAAAATATTATTTTTTAGCTATATTGCCATGACGAATATATATATTTTAATTTTATAATTTATCGTACTGACTCATTTGAACAATATATTCTGTTTCTAAGTTGTATGCATCTTTTTTTTAATTAAAATATAAAGATTTTGAAAAAAACAATAAAAATGTGTTTAAATTTTTTTTTTATTTGATAACTAATTCATAGATATGCGTTTTTCAATTATTTTGGTCTAATACATTTTATAAAGTATGGATATTTACATAAATAAATAATTTTATTGTTACTGGACTAACGATTAAAAATATAAAGACTAAATCAAATGTAGATTAATATATTACAATTGTTTACTAAAAACAATCTCTACGTGTATAATAATTAAAAAAGAAGGAATAAAATTATAACAGAAGATATAATTTGGTTAAAATTGGCAATAAACTGTTTGCGAAACATATTATATAAAGTAATTATCGCTAAAGTTTTTCTTAAATCAACAAAATGAAAATGAAAATATCTGAAAAATACATAGATACGGTAATAAATCAGTAGTTAAATGTTTGCTAATAAAGTGGTATTACTGTGTAACTTATACACAACAAGCAAAATGTTATTAGCATAAAATAAATCAAAATTATTTTTAGATACAAAAAAAAATATTTAAAAAAATTAAAGCCAGTTAATATAAAAGTAAGAAAAAAAATGAAATAGTTATAAATATGAATAAAATATGAATTGACATTAAATAAAATAGCCAAGAATAATTCGCTAAATAGATGTTGAATTTTGAAAAGTCAATTGGGTCGATTTGGGCAAGATAACTTAAAATAAAAAGATTGTATAAATGTTTAAAAGAATAATTTTTATGAAACTAGCAGTGAAAAAGGTTAAATAATATTTTAATAAATCAATATAATCAATTTTTATTATTTGAAATAAATGTAAGTTTTAATCTAATTTTTTATGCTTCCAATTTTCTGGTATGAATTAAATAATGGAATTGTTTAATTGTTATGTAAAAATATTGTATTTAAAAAATATAAAGTGATAAAAGATTATATACTAATCGAGAGTCAATCCTTAATAAAAATATAGGTAATAAACAAATAAAATTACAACTCCTACAAAGCATGTAAAATAGTTTATTAAATCAGTATATTTATATTTATTTTTATATACATATATATATATATATATATATAAGACTAAGAAATTAATCAAGTGAAAATTTGTATTAATAACTCTTGTTGATTTAAGTGAATTTACCTTGTAAGTCGGTGGCCGTAGCCAGTACGCTCATGTAAGGAGGATACAGAGGTCGCACTTGTGCTGGATCTGTATGAGCTAAATTTGGGAGTGCTGCTTAAGTTAGAATTCGCCGAGTCTGAGGCACCATTGAAGTAGTGCCGTGATATATTTGGCGAAAGAGGTGCCATTGCGTTACTGCTATAGTTCAATGCGACTGTGTCAACGTGTCTGATGTTATGAAAAGGCATCACCGGCGCTGTGGCCGGCAACTACTCACTGACTGCTTCTCACGCTTCCTATCTCAGTTATTTCTCTGTATAAAACAAAATTTCAACTATATTTTACATAATTATTTCACATAAATCTATTCACCTATACTGTGTATTTTTAATTAAACAAGAATTATTAATAAAAACGAAGTTTGCTTCGTTGCTGCTTTGATATACATAACTGTCAAGATACTTTTATAATTATTCAATATATTTGTAACATTTTTTGTATTGCATTCACATCAAGTTTTGAAAATTATAATGTAAATTTAAATATTTTAAAGCATAATAACAAATTGATATTATGATAAAGTTATACAAATTTCGCACCTGTAAATATTCTAACAATAATATATATTAAAATAATTAAAATTTCGTATTATGTAAAACATTTTCTTTCACTTTTTATATTAAATAAATTGACTGGTATTTTATGATAATCCAAAATAAATTTTATAATATTTTGCATACTATAAAATGCGATTTTTAAGTAGTTATAAATAAGATAAAGTAAAATATTGTTTCTAAAAAAATTATAATGAATAGAAGCATCATACCTGAGTATATTTGAACGAGCATGTGCATTTCTGTACACTCAAGTCAAATTATACAGAATTATAAAATAAAAAAGTTTTATTTTTTTAAATTAAATACAAGCATATCAAAATTATAGTTTTACATATTAAGATTTTTTTAATGTTCTTGAGAATGACTACAGAAATAAAAGGAAATTTGATAAAAGTGATTACAGTTAGTATATTAAACATTAAATATAAATTTATGAATTTTTTAGCGCAAAAAATGCAAATTCTTTATCTATCTAAGATATCTTTATCTAAGATAAAAAATTTCTTTAATTCATTTAAATTAATTTGGTTTATCATATATTCTTAAAATGTAATAATTATTAGAATGTAATAAACAATAGTAAATAACTTAATTATTGTAATAAATGATTTCCCAATCTTCTATTATTAAAATGAAAAACATGTAGGTAATTGATTACATATAAAAATGAACTATGTTAATTTTTGTAATTAAAATTTATAAATTTTAGTTGACATTTGTAAATATAACTAATGAAAAATACGTAATTCAAATATTTGTTTAGATATTCAATATTTAAATTTGTGCAAAACAATCATGTTACCATTGGTATTTATTTGGTTAAATGATTGTTTTACAAATAAAATAACATATTTTTATTTTAATTCTTCAATAAAATTTGAAGTGATATAAATGATTTTAATAAAATATAAACACTATAACTGTTAAGTTTACTTATAATAAATTTTTTTTTCAAGATAAATAAATGATCTATGAATTTTAAAGGCTTTTCAAATATATATTTATATATATACTTAACTGTTAGAATAAAGTAAGGAAAAAATTTATGTTAATAATAAATATTTCAAGATTCAATATAGTAAGATATATAATAAAAATTAATAAAATAGAAATATAAAAATATAAAATGGATGTTGTAATAAATTGAAAGTGTAAGACATTCATACAGTAAATTTTCATTCATAGAACTACTTATATAATTATAATACAGAATATTATTTACCTTTAACAAAGATAAAAACGCTATGTTTATTTATAAATTAAATCTATAAATACATCTATTTTACTTATAAATATAAATAAATATCAGCTAGATATTTTGCAGTTGTATTGGAATAAATTAAAACAATATAATATGATTATATGCATCTTTTCTAAGTAGATAGCCAAATAAATGTCAGTTCAATGATTTGAAATATATATTAAGAAATTAAGTAACTATAAAATTTTATATTTATAAAATACAATCCAACATGATTTTGTATAAAAGAAACCTTAAATTCATAAAGATGCATCTTGAATAGTATTCACGAATAAAAGTATTAAAACTTAAAGCAAAAATTGAGAAACATCTAAGTAACATATATTGAAATAAATGCTAAGCATATCGATAGTCTTAGTAAATATTTAACACAATTAAAAATTATAATGTAGACATGTATTTCTGATAATGTTTGGATACAAATAATCTACCGAAAGTTCTTTATAATTGATTCTCACATATTTTCTATTCTTTCAAATGCTAGTGGTTCATAAATTGTCATCGATATAAAGATAATATAAAACAAGTTGGACTATGCCAATAAGTTAAGATTTATTATCTTATAATGTTTATGAAAAAGAAACGTGCGTCTCTTTTCACATAGATCTCAAAAGTGTATTTTTGCAATACCGTTATTTATGGCGTATAAATTAAGAATTAGTAAATTAATAATTGCAATCGGTGCATATGTTTTTTATTATCAATCGATAATTTTTATTGACCAAATACATCAAACGTGCAGTTTAAAAAGTACTCTAGTTTATCTTTTTTATCAGTAAGCAGTGCATACACGGTTTCTTTTTGTAATAACATAATGATTCCAATATTTGTTTATGCTTTTTAAACGATTCGTTTTTTAATTAGCTAAAGATACTATGTAGGTAATCATAAGTTGTTAGATTTAGCACAACGATTAGATGATAGATTTGTTCGTAGTTTTTAAACCAGTGTATATACGAAACATTGTCATTCTAATAGAGAAACCACAATTTTAATTATAAAGAATAGAAACCATAATAATAATAATAAGAACAATTAACATTTAAAACAGTAAAGAATTCACGTATTTTAATATAGCTATATAGCGATCATATATATTTATAATTAAAATAATTCTTTTCTTATAAACTTCATTGTATAGATGTTAATAATTTTTTAACAAGCCAGTTAAAAAAAATATTTTATTTTCTATCAGTAATATGGTAGAAGAATAATTTTAAACATAAATATTTTTAGACATTAAAATATTTTAAAATATTTTTTTATACTAATTTTATGTCTAGTGACAATATTTAATTTAAGGAATTATTAATGAATCTTCTATTGTAAATCAAAATTTTTATGTCTTATTTGTATAAAATTTGAATGATATAAGTTGATTTATAAAGCAGTTATAAATTTAATTAAAAAAGAAAGTTATTGAATTTTTATTTAAGCTTTCAGATTCAATAATTGTAAATCGGAATGTTAACTTGAGCATTTTAAACGTGCAATTATTAATAAAAAAATCTATATGTATATGAACTATTAATAATCGAAAATGATTCAATAATACAGTTTTAGTATATTCTTGAAGAATTTAAATTTTATTATTACAAAAAGTTTATACAGATTCAACAATTTCATAAGATGCAAAATATACATATAAAATTTGATTTATAGTGTTTATATATTTCAGATTTCAATTATTTTGCGGGCTTACGGAATGATACATATATAAATTATAGATAATAAAAACCGGAGTATTATATATTGCATAAAATGTATACAGATTCCAATTTGTTATTATTAAATAAACGTAGAAAGTTTAATTTTTAATATTCTTATTTATATATGAATATAAATAAAATATATTCAAACTTAGATGTCATAATAAATATTTAATTAATATCAGTTTTTTATTATTGACACGAATGAAATTTAAAGTCTATTATTAGTATTATTACTGATATATTACAAGATATTTAAAAATGTAAAATATTTAATATACAAGGACGATATGAAATGAAGAATATTGATCTACATATAAAACTAAATTAAAAAATTCAACATTTTCTGTTGACTTATATTAATATTATATAAATAATTATAACAAAAAGACTTTGTGAGTATTTATTTTCATTAATTATTGAAATTTCTTACGCGTCTACACTTACATTTCATAATATTGCTGAGTTGGTAGCATTCAACAAATTCGACGAAGCTCTCAAACATTTTATTAATATAATGTAGTCATTCTTAACAACCATGCAACATTATTATCATATTATTCATTATCAAAACAAAATAAAATATTTATTTTATAATAAAAAATTATAAAACATTAATGGTGACTTTAATTTCAACCATAAATATACTCCTTAATAAATAATATTATGGAACATGTACAATAGATTTTCAAATACTTTTATGAATTTTTTATAATAGATCTCATACTATTATTAATAATAAAACAATATATCAACTCAATAATTGAAACTTCGTCTAGTGCAACAAAAACTATTAAATATGCGCTCTGAACCGATGTTAAACATAAAATGTTCTGTGTTTATTTTATATGATAAACTTGAATCTACAAACAAACTTTGTGTGAAGTTGGATAATACAATATAAAGTGTGCCTTCGTTGTACTTATACATACATCATTATGTAAGTGCTCAACCTCATTTAGAAAATCTCTTATTGAATTTTATTACTACAATTTTATGTACTTATAAATTCGATGAAAAGATTTTTGTTAAACTAATTTATAATAATAATAATCCTTTTTCATTATTAATTATGTGTATACGAGCTATTACATGCATGTACATATTATATCTAAATCCTTTAAAAACGTTAAAGTATATGTTCTGCGCCAATTTTATTATTTTAATTTTTATGCATATAGTTAAAAATTATATTACAAAATCTAATCTCAAAAATTTATGTCTTTGTTAATATCTCAAATAATTCATGTTTATATTAATTTAGCTATATGTACATAATTGACTATTAAAATCAATATGCAATATGCAAATCTAGAATCAAATTTAATGACGAAAAAATGTACCTCAATTTTATAAATTTCTAGATTACTTTAAAGTTAGTTTTTGCAAGTAAGAGGCGTTAAAATTTAAATATTTTTTTTAATAAATTATATTTGCTTATATAAAATTTGTTTAAATGATTATATTAAATATATATAAATTATAAACTTAATGTTTAAAGTTACTTAATTTACTGAATAAATACTATAAATAAAAAAAAAATAAACTATTTAACAGTCCATATTTTTAAAAAGATACTCTACAATCTATTATAACATATAAATAACAAGACAATTAGCTTCTCATAACCTCTTAATATGATCTTGAAAATAGGTGTTTTTCTAATTTCATAAATATAGTATAAAATAAAAGTCATAAACAGTTATTGTCTGTGCTATATTTATAT